AACATGACGTGTTACTAGCGTCACGTGACCCTCGCTGTCGTAACATAAATATGTATTCAATTAATCTAATTAACAATAAGTATTCAGTTAATGTCATTAACAGCTTTTTTATTAACATTTCGGTGTTTTTAAAATGCATCTGTAAGGTTAGAATGTATTTGTAAATGTCAATGAATAAAAGGTGTTTAATCCAATATGATTAAATTTGACGTAAATGTACGACTATCCATAAAGCATAAGTGTATAGATACGGAATTTTAAAACAATTAACTCCCTACACAGGGAGTACATAAAGCACAAGAGTCATTTTTAAAAATGTGGAACAAGCATGTAAACGCCCAAATATATGGAGTTGATGCTGCAGGGTAAAAATATATCCTTTCAATCATGACTAATTATGTTGAAACTAACCTACTGTTGCGTATCTGCTTGTTTGTTAATTTCCCGTAGAAATTCTTTCCGAGAAACTTCAGTGATACAAGTCCTTTCTTATTTAAACTATTTTATTCTTTCTCATTACAAACTTTGTAATACACTTAGTTTCCACAGTCACTTTAAACTTAACTACTTGTATAAACACACGCTATAGTTCACAGCGATTCACACACTTTACTTATGGTGCCTACTGCTCGCTTGACTCAATTATCAATTATTTCTCTTCAATCTATCTCTGACTTATATACTAAAAAAAGAGGATGTCTAGCAAATACTGGGATATTCGTGAGGTTCCCCGATCCTTCTAGAAACTCCAGCGCGCATGCTCCCAGCGTCGCGTGAATTCGGCTGTCGTAACACAACTTTCACGCATTTTCGAGTAAGCAATAGTGTACAGCGACATTGTGGCAGTATGTAGTTTTAATTTTATGCACACATTAGAGTACTAGTTCAAGTTTTCGACCTTCCAACATCTAACTTACAAGGATTTAGTAACTACACGTAGAAAAGATGTAAAAAAATTACAAAAACCTGAATATACATATCCAAGTAAAAATGTATTATTTGCTAATTATGGATGGGTAAAATATGATGATATTTCCAATCATTATTTTGCTACAGCTCCAATTTTAAAGTGTAAATAACCACTCATGTGGCTAGTGCTAGTAACTAAGTAACATAAGATTTATTAATCAGTGTGGAACAAGTCTTGAGAGAGAGAAAGCAGTAAAAGCAACCATCCATCCCTCATAAGCGAGTGCACAAATTGCATTTGTGAATTCTAGGAACTTATGAGTGAAAGCAAAGAAGAATATGCGATAAACTAGTGCAGCCTGAATTGAATGTGTAAACAATACAGTTTCATTATGAAATACTGCCCATGCAAGCAGAATGGAAATATCAGTGGAATATTCCATCAACCAATGAATTCGTGTCTATTCATTGAATATTCAAATCTTAGATACTATGCAGTTGTCTTAACTGATGATGAACTGTACAAGCAACGAAAATTCGGATAAGAATAGATATCACAAATAACCAGTCAAAAGCTACACAAAAAGCAAATAAATAACCCTATGCACGATTATCACAAACTGACAAAAATTGTACTGATGAATGTAACAGCCTTTGGAAATTGTATGGTCAATTAAGAGTGCAGGATGGTATGTTGTATCATCAGTATGAACAATTGAGACGTGTAGCCAGCCTGTTATGCAACTAACGATCTCCAGAGTTCTGTGGATTTTTCATAATATAAGTATTGGTGAATACCGAGGAATGCCAGTAACTAAATAGTTTCGTTTTAAGTTTACTTACTGATCATAAGTATTATTTTATTACAAGTTACAGCCTTTATAGCAAGGAATAACATCTTTAGAACAGCTACAACGTTTCAACCACTAGTGTGATCAAATACTTGAGAATGATCGCACCAGTGACTGAAACGCCATATACCTGTTCTAAAGGTATTCTTCCTTTCTGTAAAAGCTGTAACTTGTAATAAAATAATGTCAATAACTGTTGCTTTTATTTGTTTGTAATTAAACACAAATCTACACAATAGGCTATCTTACTGCTGTGCCATTGGGGGCTATTTGATATGTTTAAGTATATCAGTTTAAATAAAAATACGTGTAAATGATCCTGGTAAGGAACTTTGAAATTTTTATGTCCTTATGTTAGTCGAAATTGTGTTGTTGTTTTTCGTTTGATTTTTCTTTGTCCTAACCAGCATCATCATCTCTGTATTGATGGAAAGTAGGCGTCGGCAATAGAAACGAAGAACAAAAGGTGACTGAAATACTACATACACTCGATCTTCTAATCCTTTTAAAGACTGAATAAAGAATGTACTGTTAGAAGTATAATAGGCCGAATACTAATGATTCATGACAAGTATAATTAATCACAATCATGCTTCGCCAGCTTAGAGAAGGCAGTTAAACCATAACAATAGTGACAAATGGCTTATATAAATGGCTACTTGTGGGCTTTTCCGTTATCAAACCAAGATACTTGTCACGACTGGATTGTATTGATTCTTCATTGTGTCTTATCCGTCGTATTGAGCGAAATACGCATTCGGAAATTAATATGACGAACAAAATGAGGTTGAATCACCCCTGTAATTCCCTGAAAACTTAAAAGCTCTACAAAAAAAAGGGATAAAGAATGTATTGTTAAAAATATATCATACTGTTACGACAGAGAAAGTCACGTGACGCTGTAACACGTAATGAGTTCTAGAAAGTTCGGGGAACATTACGAATAATCCAGTATTTGCTACGCGCCCTCTATTCTTGTATATAAGTGCGCCAGACAATTAATCGGGATTGAATGG